CCAGAAAGAAAAGGAAAAATACCAGATGGTTTCTCTCATAGCAGGAATATAATGGAACAGGCAAGAAAATAATGATAATGATGAACAGCTATATACCAGAGATATTTTTGTGGAGGTGGAGTGGAGAATGGGATCAAAAACAGTGGGAGGAGGGAAATGCTCTGGACTGTGGTGATGGCACATGGGTGATTTGGTGATGGGAAACCCAAGGAGATTGCAACTGAGATGGAAAAATGCACAAAAATATGTAAAAATAAACTATCATAAAATTAAAAAAATAAAGACTTAGCTAATCCCCATTAGAAATTTTCATTCATTCATTCATTCATTTAGTCAGTCAGTCATTTTACCTTCTGGAAGTGTAGAGTGGTAGACAACAGGGCTCCAGGGACTGGAAAGCTGATCCACATGCAATCGAACAGCAAATTCATATTTGGTGTTTGGTTCTAGACCCTGAACCAACATGTGAGTTTCCGATCTATAATAATGAGTAATGAAGTTGTTAATGCTGACAGCACACTGTTTCTAAGACTATCAGTGTTTCCATGCAGGACATAACGTCATTATGCATTTGCCAGATTTCTCATTTTCCTAAAATAATGTTTTATAATAACATAGAAATCTAGTTTGACTATTAAAATAGTGCATTTGATATTAGTCTACAAAGACAGGCCTACAAATTTTCTTTCTGGAGAGTAGGAAATTAACATTATAGAAAACTTCCAATTCAAAGAAATTTCTTCTGAAATACTGGGAGTCAAATCTTCTAAACACTGTATTATTTTATGTTCCTCTAAAACACAATCAAGGGTATTTCTCTAAATAAAACCTAAAAAGAAAAAAAGTACGAGAAAACAGAAAAACTAACTCTAATATGCCAACAGATAAATGGTCTTTTGGTTTTTTCTTTTAACATACTGAGTTTAGTCACTTGAAAGTAACAGTAACTTCTTGCCAAACCTTATTGCAGGAGGATTTTTTAAAAAAATCATTTAGGGACATTAAATGTCAAAAAACATAGCTTTGAGAAATGAATATGGTGAAGATGCAAAATCCCCAGTCATTTTATAATGAGTCCTGAATGTTTATAGCTGAAGTTCAAGCTGGGCTAAGGTGAAAGGAAGTGAGTATGAGTGGGGAGGAGAGCAAAGAAAACAACCATTAAGAGCAGCTACATACGTTTGAAGGTACAGAACCAAAGAAGCATTCTGCAGGCCAACAGGGTTACAGCGGATGGTGTAGTTAATCATTTGTGCAGTGGTGAAGGCAGGCCTCCTCCAGTGCAGGAAGATGGAAGATGAGGTATTAGCCTTCGCATAGAGATGGTGGGGTGGTGGTGGAGGAGGAACCATGCGATCACGAACAGCTATTGTGAAAAAGACATGGTTATTTGTCACATGGGATAACCTTAAATGTAATAAGAGGTTAAAATGGTAAAATCATAAATACCCCACTCCTGGAGGTTGACTTTTAGATCTTTTGTAGACCAGAGGTTTATAGTAGTCTAGAAGTATATTATTCAAATCTGAATAATTCTTCCATGAGTTGTTGAGAAATGAGTTATAAGAAATCAAGTATCAATACTTCAACAGAAGCACAGAGAAGCCAAGTTTCACGCCAACACCATCTGGAAAGCTAGCCGTGGGTTTAAAACTAGACCAACATCTTTAGCACCAATAAAATTAAACAATTTATAGTAGTAATAAAACTGAACAATAACCTGAAGGAAATAATTGTTAAAATATCTAAAGAAAACCCAGTATGTAGGTATTTGGTGATTATTTTTCATAGTAAACTATCTCATGGTCGTTTGCATATGTTTTACTTAATAATATGTATTTGTTCAATACTATCTTTAGGCACTATGGAGGCAATAAAACCAACAAGGCCTCAAAGTACTAATGAGACTTAAATTTAAAGAAGGAGATAAAAGGAGTGTGAGTACAGTTAAACCAGCTGCCCCAACACTTACACACACATCCTGGGGTGCTGACTGTCTGGTCCGCCTGATAGCCATCTTCTATGTTGTAGGCCAGCAATCTCACGTGGTATTTTCTTCTGGGGTCTATAAAGAAACCAAGAGGTGGTAATTAGAATCATTCCTCTAATTACAAGTAAGGTTTCTTCAGCCTTTCTAGACTTTAGGTTTGAAAATATTCTGAATATAAAACAGTTCTAAGTAAAAGGACGTTGTTTCTCGCCTCATCCTACACAGTGACTCAGCAATTCATCTTAATATGACAATGTTGTTATGACTACCTACCAGTTATTAAAAAATTTGTATTACTGGCCCTTCCTGGTGGCGTAGCAGGTTAAAGCACAGCACTAAGAAGCTAAAGCCACTTCAGCATGAGTTGGATCCCCACCTGCCCCGAGGTGACTCACATGGTGCGGCAGACCTCTCCTGATCTGCCCGCTGCTCCCCTCAGCAGTGTACTTCATCCATCTGCCTGTTCTGCTCCCCACTCTGTCTCTGGTGAATCCTTTCACTGTCCCTGCACCACTGGCCTGTACCCCAGTTCTGTATGCATAAATAATCTTTTAAAAAATATTGTGTTACTTAACTTATCTTAAAGAGTAATATTACTACAGCCACTACTCCTCTTCAACTAAGCAGAGGTTTACTCTATTTTAAGAGCCTGCATTGTTGATAGATCACTTAGAAATGTTATTCTAGGGCTTTCCCTGGTGGTGCAATGGCTAAAGCATGGCACTATGAAGTTACAGCAGCCACTACAACACGAGTTGGATCTCTGGCCAGGGAAGTGACCTACATAGCATGGCAGACCTCTCCTGACCCACCTGCTGCTCCCCTCAGCAGTGTATTTCAATTAGCCTGTTCTGCTCCCCACTCTGTCTCTGGTGAATTCCCTCACTCTCCGCACCTCCCAGTTCTGTAAGCATAAATAAATAAATCTTAAAAAAAAAAAATGTTACTCTATGTACAAGCTTTTATTTAGTTATTTGAGGATAATTTACTTAAAAGTATGAAAGTCTTAAATGTGATTATTTTCCCTGAAAGTTAAGGAGAATTACAATTTTTCTCTAGTACCTTTGAAAATTGCGACAAAACCTGTATTTTCAAATTAAGAGCTAGTCACCAAGAAAGATGAACTTGAGTTCCCTCTACTGGTAGTCATTAGCAATCACAATAAGAAAACAGAAGTGTACGTACCATCCATATTAAAACAAAAATTTTCAGGCCTTGAGGAAATAAATGATTATAAAATTTAAATGACATACTTTAGAAGATAGTTTAAATTTTAATTATATAAATAAATTTAAGAGTAAGTTTATGAAAACCACTGAAGACTTGCTTAGGGTAAAAATACTACCCAACTCCCAGGTTTTTTAAAGTATAATTTATAAAACAAATTTATTACTTATTCTCACTTCTAAACTCTACACTCTTAACACAACTTCAAACATACAATATACTATTGACAATTATAGTCACAAAGTTGTACATTAATCTCCAGAAAGTATTCATTTTTTGTAATGGAAACTGTACCCTTTCAGCGACATTTGCACATTCCCCTTCCTCCAGCCCTTGGCAATGACCACTCAACTCCCTGCTTCTAAAACTATTTTAGACCCATATTTAAGTAAGATCATATAGTAATTATCTTTGCTTGGTTTATTTCGCTTAGTATAACGTCCACGAGGGCATTCTCCTATATGTGTATGCACATGTACTCACACACACACACACACACACACACACTACAGTTTATTTAGCCATTTACCACACTGACAAATATTTTGGTTGTTTCCATATCTTGGTTATTGTGTGTATATCTTGGTTAGTATATGCAGTGAACATATCTTTTTGAGATAAATATTCCACTTGGATTTAAATCCAGAACTAGGCCTGTGCAATCAAGTGGTAGTTAGTTTCTTTTTCTGATTTTAATATGTTCTATATTATATTCCTTTAAATAATAATACTAATAAATTAGGTGTTTCATAAGGTAAAAGAGTCATCCTTAATAAATATAGCTTCTGTAATAAAGAATGTATGTCAAAGCCCGAAAATAATTACAGAATTCAAACATTTATAAATTCAAAAACAAAATGAAGTTTATTAAACTCTCCATAGTAATTCAAGAGTTTATACGCATATTTTTGAAACCCAAAGTGTATTCTAATATTTAATGTTTTAGTGCTTTAAAAAAACTTCCTAAAATGTAAAATTATCAATCTATTTCTTTGGATAAAATTAAAAGTAAAGAGAAAAAGCTTATATAATTCAGAAAAATTTCTGTACATGCTAGATAGGAAGGTAGAAAGATGAATAACATTTGACTATTTTATAGAAAACATTTTCTAAATACACTATTGTTTGAGTATCATAAAATTATCTAAGATATTAGGGGACAGTGAAAGTATACAATGTTTTAAAATGAACAACAATGTGAATAGATATGTAAATTAATAAATTTTATTTTAAAACATAAGAAATATTTTTCATTTTTTAAAAAAATTCTAAGATACATGTCATTTTATAAACTATGATGATACATGTCTAATGTCACACAAAGCTGAACCAGGAGCTTATATTTCTGATAAATTACAGGCTCTTTAAATTTATAAAAAATATGTCTGTGCCTCCTTAAGTGAATTAAGTGTACCTCCTTACAGTGAATTTTGAAAATAGTTACTTCAAACACTTTACAAAATAATTACCAGAAAAACATAAAATCATGTGGATTTCATCACTCAAATGATTTCAACATTTAAATTAAAATTCAACATTCAGAAGGTTTCATTTCAAATTAATGATTATTTAATTTGAATCTGTTTTGTCTTTTCTTCTAACATATTACTGACTTATTAGTAAAAAGTTATTCTAATATATAACTTATTAGTCAACTGACTCTTGAGTTATGTTCTATAAATATATAACAGGTCCTCTGAATAGGTAGAAGCAGAATTCAATTGGCTCTGAAGTGTAGTTTAATAAATTCGGAGTGTAAAGTAAAAAAAAAAAATAACATGTCTTTATTCTGTCTTTATTCAATTAGAAATACTTACGCTTAAGAAAACCTGCAAAGTGAGAGGCAGTATATATATATATATCAGCAATGTAACAGAGACAGAAAGGATGAGACAGAATTTGACCAAAGTAGTTCATATTCTCAGGGAGCCAGGAGTTCACAGTACAGATGGAGAGATTAATTTTTTCCACTAAACAGTCGACCAACACTTTGTGAGTATTTTTCTAGAGTGTTTGGGTTTGTTTTTTTTTTTTAAGATTTGTTTATTTATGCATACAGAACTGGTGTACAGGCCAGAGGTGCAGGAGCAGTGAGAGGGTTCACCAGAGACAGAGTGGGGAGTAGAATAGGCCCTGACTGACAAAGTACACTGCTGAGCAGAACATTGGGCAGGCCAGGAGAGGTCTGCCGTGCCATGTGGATCACCCCCAGGGTGGGGAATCAAACTCATGCTGAAGTGACTTTAACTTCTTAGTGCTGTGCTTTAACCTGCTGCACCACCATGGAGGGCCCTGTTTGAGGGTGGTTTTTGTTTTTTAATACTAAAATTGATTCTTCAAGTTTCTCCTTTTTTTAAAAAGTGAGTGCTTAAACCCAGAGTATACATTTTTTGTTGACAGAAGTAGTTGGCACAACAGGTTAAAGCACAGCATTATGAAGCTAATCACAACCACTGCAGTATGAATTTGATCTCCGGCCAGGGAGGTTATCCACATGGCATGGCAGACCACTCCTGACCTGCCTGCTGCTCCCCTTAGCAGTATATTTCTGCTCCCCACTCTGTCTCCAGTAAATTTTCTCACCCCCAGCACCGCTGGCCTGTACCCCAGTTCTTGTATGCATTAAATAATCTTTTTTTTTTTTTTTAATGAGAGTTGCTCCCTTAACATGTGCAGAGCTGGCTATAACAAATTCAGCACAATATGAAAAGAAGCAGCTCTTCTGATCCTCATCTGGAAACCACCAAGCAGCAGGACTTTGGTGGGCTTCTTCCCCTCCTAGATTACCTGAGGTCAGCAAAAGGCAAATCAAGTACACCAGGTGCATGAAACTTGCTTATATCCATATAGGAAAAGGAAAACACAATAACGGACACTTAAAAAAAAGATAAAACAAAAACTAGAAATTCAGAAATTATTTCAGTAGGAAAAATAAAAGATATGTGCAAAAAAGAATTTAAAGGAAAAGGAGTACCAATTCACGATTGTCCATGTATGATCTATTTTTTTTTAATAAAAGTCTTACAAACAATTTCATTTAAACCAATTAAAAAAAAATGCCTGGTTGGGGGCCATATTGAGCATTAGCACATGGATGTGTCACATGTTCCCTGGTGGCTTTAATATATGATTTCTAAGCAAAATTTAGTCACTATTTTAGCTTGATTTATTAAAACCCTGGAATATCCTGATTCATTCTTTTTCATCAATATTAGATATTTGATTCCATGTACTGTTTGTAAATATAAGAGGGGTACCAAGGTCCAGAATCCTCAAACAGTTTTAAAATGAACATTATCATCATTATTGCAATGAGTGATCAACTGAAAAAGAAAAGAGAAAGCTACATAGTCACCAGAAAGTATTAGAGCAATATATTAAATATGTCGATGAACAAAGAACGTATGTCCTCATAAGTAGCACAAATTCTAAAACTCTACAGTTCTGCAAAACCCTCTATATAAAAGCAGCAAAGAAACCCAGGATCAGCACTGTGAAATGCCAAAGGGTAACAGTTTCCAAGGTCTGTACAGCCCCTTTTGAGTCAAGCACTGCCACGTATGTGGTGCTCAGTTACATGAGGCTCAGCAGACTTAGGCGATGTGGTTTAGGGGAAGAACAGCAGAGTCAGGAAGAGTGGCCACAAAAGAATAGTGTAGGCCAATCTTAAAACCCAGTAACAGAAAGAGAAGAAAAAGACAGGGGGTAGAGAGTTGGTTCTAGTTCCTTCAAGATTCAGCGCAAGAGGCATACAAATCACTCAACAGGGTTAATTTTTAATGGTCCAGAAGTGAAGTTCAAATAGGTAATATTTAGACTTAAAGTTAAACTTGCTTATGAATTTAGCA